GTTTTAACATTGCAAGCATAGATTTTACTGTATCCATGAAATTAATTGATCTGAAGATATCCCAGTCTGTTAGAGTAAGTGTGTCCTGTAGCGCTGAGATCACAGTGCTTGTTTGTGTCGTTTGTGCAGGTGAGAGTACCAACACATGAAGATGGTACCTGTCTGTTCTGGGAGTTTGCCACCGATTACTATGATATCGGGTTTGGTGTGTACTTTGAGTGGACTATCTCACAGACGAACACAGTCAGTGTTCATGTCAGCGAGTCCAGTGATGAGGAGGATGAAGAAGAAGAGGCGGCAAAGACAGGAGGTAAGACAGTTAAAGTATGTGGTTGCTGTTAAAGGTATTATCACCCTTTTAGAAATGGTTATGTACTGGGCTTTAATTTTTATAGACAAAAAGGTGGGTTACTTTGTCTTCAGTTGAAAAAAAAAAACATTATGTGTCGTAAAGTTATTTTATTTGAGTTTAAAAAAATATGTAATATTGTAGGTACTTCCCTTTCAGAAAACAACAACATATTCACAGGATTCGTCTCATACATTTATTTATTTTCTAGTTTATATGTAATTCCTGCTGTCAGTTTCCTCCCCCTGTGGGTTCCGAGGCCCTGTTATAGGGAAAACAAGACTAGACCAACTGCCTACCCAAAAGCATCACGCAAGAGTCGACTAATAGGGAGCTTCCTTCGAAGTTGGAGTGAATCTGCCTGAAGAGGCAAGGAACCAGCAGTCTGCATACAAATGAGTCAGATCTGTAAAACGGATGCACATGCAACACTCAGGTTCTGGAACAGGACTGCAGTCCAGAAGTGGATGAACAACCAGAACTTTCCACCAGAGTTTACAGCTGGGGAACGCAAAGAAGAAGAAGAAGCTCTCAGTTTCCAACACTCTGTGTTGTCCAAAGGTACCTTTTTTCACGCAAGTTATGCATCAGGTATATAATGACTGTTGTACAGTAGTATTCCTAAAATGTTGCGCTGATACAATCTGAGTTTTGTCGCCTGAACATACACAGGAACATTAAAAATTGCATGCTTCAGAGTTATGTGCCCTGCTGGACATTTATCCTTGCATGGTTTATTCAGGCCAACATTTATATTAGCTGATGCCACACAGTTTGTCTTTTCTGGTGTGCTAAGTTAAGCTACTGCAATTCCAGATCTAATTTCAGCCAGATTATATGTGGAAGCTTCAGAAATGTGGTTTTACGGAAAATTAACTGAACCTGGATCTAATTTCAGCCAGATTATATGTGGAAGCTTCAGAAATGTGGTTTTACAGAACATTAACTGAACCAGAACACCAAGTACAAATAAAAAACATAATGAAAATTTTAGGAAATAAATCTGCCGCAGAGAATTGATTATCCACTTTGCAAGAAGATAATCCATATTTTTTCTGCTTAAGTGACCTTAAACTCCCAGGTTGATCCATCCTGAAATATGTACCAGGAAATGTCATGGGAAGTAAAAGTGGATAGTGTGATGTTTATCACATTGCCCATTGAGTGCTGGCTGGTCTGTAAATATATGGTTCTAACACTAAATGCCTTATGTTACTGGACTGAAAAGGGTCCTGTTAATTTTGTTTTACGTTTTTATGAAAATTATTTATATATTTTTTGAGTTTACGAGATGTAGCAGCTAGACATTCGCTTGCGAATCTCAAGGTCGTGGGTTCAAATCCGAAAGAAGTAAGACCTTGGCTCTCCGATTCTGATTCCTTTTAAAAAAAAAAATTAAAAGTTTGACCACTTTCAGACGGCTGCTAGCTAGCCGAGGCTGCTAACAGTCTCCAGCTATATTTGTGGTCTGGTTTATTTGCGTCACTTTTGTGACTAAAGTTCTGGTATTTGCACCATCTCTGGGCTTACTGCTTCCTTCCTTTGAGAGACCGCTGGTTCTCTACCCTGTTGTTAGCTGTGTACTTACTGCTTCCTTCCTTTGAGAGACCGCTGGTTCTCTACCCTGTTGTTAGCTGTGTACTTACTGCTTCCTTCCTTTGAGAGACCGCTGGTTCTCTACCCTGTTGTTAGCTGTGTACTTACTGCTTCCTTCCTTTGAGAGACCGCTGGTTCTCTACCCTGTTGTTAGCTGTGTACTTACTGCTTCCTTCCTTTGAGAGACCGCTGGCTCTCTACCCTGTTGTTAGCTGTGTACTTACTGCTTCCTTCCTTTGAGAGACCGCTCGTTCTCTACCCTGTTGTTAGCTGTGTACTTCTGGCCTTTTCCTTCCTGTTGTTTCCTCCTTGGTTTCAGCTCCCTCTGATTTGGCCAGGCGTATTTCATAGGAATTCTTGTTGTTAGGTGTTCTAGTCCTGTCAGTATCGGTTCACTTGTCTTCCCTATTTGCTGTCAGTCATATCCTGTTTGCGAGTCCCACCAGTCGTGTTAATGTTGTATGCATGATGTGGAATGAAATGATTTTGCGTATGAATTCCAGGAATATATGGACCCACACAACTAAGTGTATGCGTACATACACCCGAGCATTCACACACTCAGACGACACTACCTGTTTGCACTTTCTTTCATACTTATCCGTGTATGCATACCTATTTGTCATTCCGTACACATGCATTCTCTCCTTGGCTCTCAGGTAGATCCAGCTTTAAAATAGGTAGCAGGTAGAGTCCTGGGAAGTAAAGGTGGCCTATGTGATGTTGATCAGATCACCCACTGATTACCGATTGGCTGATAAAATATTGGTCTAGAACTGTTATGTCCAACATGCCTGAACTCGTGAAAAAAATTTCCTTTTACTTTCCAGACAGTTTATCAACCTTACTTTATTACAGTTTCATGGAATGGTAACCATTTTCTTAGCAGCTACTTTATTCTGTAACCTTTTTCCTCAGAAAACAAGGGTGGGGATGTTGAAAAGGGCCCATCAAAGAAAACAGAGAACAAACCTCCGACAGATGAGATTATCCCTGTCTACCGCCGTGACTGTCACGAGGAGGTTTACTGTGGCAGTCACACGTACCCTGGCCAGGGAGTTTACCTCCTCAAGTTTGACAACTCTTACTCCCTTTGGCGCTCAAAGACATTGTATTATCGAGTGTATTACTCCAGATAAGATTGCATCTTTTTGTGGGGTCAGCGATGAGCCAGATTTCTTTAACTTGTTGTGTTGGACAAGTAGTTATTGACTGAGAAAGTTTTGCCTGGAGTTATTTTAAAAGAGAAAATATTTTTTTAGAATGAAATGTTATAAATTATTGCCGACTGTGAAAAGTTGAATAATTTGTTTAAGTAATATTTTATTTGAAACAATTCACAGAACACTTTGTATCATATTTTTATTTGGATATTGAAATCAGTTTTTTTTTTAAATGCATTTTCTGTCATCTGTGGCCTTCTGTACTTATATAGTGACAGCGTGCGTGGGTTCATTGTGTTAATATGTCCTGGAAGCATTTCATTAATTTGTTTTGTTCCATGATTTTTATAATTCTGTCTCTACATGTCAGTTCCAGGGCCTTGTTGTGGGAGGCAGGGGTGTGGGCAGGTTGGTACCAGATAAAGTCATGGGAGGTAAAGGACACCCAGCAAGAGCTGATTGGTCTTGAAAATATAAGGTCTAGTTCTAAATGCCCAATATACCCACCCTTAAGGCGTGGAAAGGGTCCTTTACTTTATTTACTTATCCCACCTCCCCTTCCACCCCCTCCCTCTTTCTTTCCTAATCAGCATCCTGTAAAGGTTGACTAATTCGGGTTTGCTTATATTAGATGTGGTTAGCAATACTGCAGCCTGGTTGTGAGCTGCAGTACAGCATGCTAACCATCCTTTTAAAGGTAAATGCAGAAGAAGATAAAAAAATTTCTTATCTTTGAAATGTCTTTACTTGATATTTTAAAATATTATCAACACTGCCAATGCTCAGATTTCATCAATACATTTGTTTTTCTCTTTAGATAGTTCTCTTTAGTTTTAGATTTTTGTCTTTCCTATTTTTTAATATCCCATCAACATTACCAATGCTCAGATCTCATAAATACAGCTGTTTTTTTTTTTTTTCCCTCTTACTATAGTTCTCTTTTGTTGTAAATTGTTGTCTTGTTATTTTTAAAAATCCTGTCAACACCACCAATGCTCAGATGTCGTAAATACATTTTTTTTTCTCGGGATAGTTCTCTTTTGTTGTAGATTGTTGTCTGTCTTACTTTTTAAATCTTGTCAACACCACCAACGCTCAGATGTCATAAATAACAGTAGTTTTTCTCTTTTTTTTTGGGAGCTGTTCTTAACTTTCCTAATGCCGCAACCCTTTGATATAGTTTCTCATATTGTGGTGACCCCCATCTATGAAATTATTTTCATAGTTAATTAATAACTTCAGTGAATGTATGTTTTCCGATGGTTATAGGCGACCCCTGTGAAATCGTTGTTCAACCCCCAAAGGGGTCGCAACCCACAGGTTGAGAACCGCAGTTTTAGATCATTGTTTTCTTCTGCCTTTTATTCCTTAACTGAACACAGACCCTGTGCCTACTCCCATCAAGTTGTCCTGTCCTTTGCTGCCGCATGCAACTTTCCCCATGTCCTCCCTGTCTTTTTTAACCCCTCTATGTCTAGTTCCCTTCTCCATGCATTTTTTTTTTTTTTGGTCTGCCTTTATTTCCTTGCACCTGTGGGTTCTAGTGTAACAAAATTTTTGTTATATTTATTTTATTTGCTCAGCTAATTTTGTCATACAAGCTCAAGCTCAGTCATTCAATTTTATTTGAGCAATAAATCCATTTTTGTTGTGGGCTAACATGAACCACACCGTACTGTGCATTGTATTGTACAGAATAAGATTGATTGTTTTTATTTGTAAACTGTCTCACTTTTTGTTTGGTGTCTCTGCTTGTACTTGTATTTATTTATACTGAATTTTTTTTTTCTGTTTAATTTAATTTTGCAAGTATTTACCTAATTTTAACTTGTAAAGATTTTTATGTTGTTGCCAAGATATACTGTTGTAATATCAATTATTGGCATTTTTATTTCATTCCGTATTATATTATTTGTAGTTCCTGTGTTGCCTAATATTTTTTGAGCTGTTGTGAAGAAAATTAAGAAAAATCAGTTATTTTACATTGAGTTGTTTCACTTTCTTGAAGGTTGCGGGGCCTTATTGTGTAGGGGAAAAATAATAGACTCTCTGCTTCCCTCACCTGCCCAATAAGCATTGTAAAAGTCGAGTAATTAGGCGTGCTTCCTTGAAAGTTGGACAAAAAGGAACCAAGTGAGGAACCAACAGTCTGCATACAAAAACGTCAGATTTGTACAATAGATTTGTACGTAAAAACTGAACTTATGGAACAAGACCAAAGTCCAGAAGTGGACGAACAACCAGAATTTTTTGCTAGAATTTACAGCCAGGGATTGCTGAAAAGAACAAGAAGAAATTTATCTAAGAAAATTATTATAAGTGACGTAACACATACACATCATTATTTGCCCTTGGTTAACTTGGTGCACCCTGCCTTGCATGTTTCAGTTGTTGTGTAAGTGTTCTTCTATCTATCTACTTCTTTCTATGAGTGTGTTCTTCTATCTATCTACTTCTTTCTATGAGTGTTTTCTTCTATCTATCTACTTCTTTCTATGAGTGTGTTCTTCTATCTATCTACTTCTTTCTATGAGTGCCGATCAATACACTTTATGTTACTTGATTAATTCAGTTGTTGTATAGAAAGCTTGCTTGGTGAGTTATTTAGCTTAATATGGGAGACTGGAGATAACCAGCAGGCAGGAATGAAGGCTACCTTATCTGCTTAAAAAAAATAGAAGAGTCTTTTAAGATTAAAATATTATAGAGGTCGGCATCACGCTGGCCGTCTTTACTCACCGGGACTTTACCTGGTACCCTTTTAAGACTGGATCAACCTGGAAATCCAAGGTTATTGGGGGGGGGGGGGAGTCTGGCTTTGTCAGGACCTGAAACCATGACCATCCAATCTGCAGCCAAGCACCCAGCTGCTTCACCACTTTAGCAGAAGTGTAATGTTTTACCTTATAAATTGATAGGGAAGCACTTTATAAACTGATGAATCACCATGAAAACTCTCAGACAGTAATACATGCAAGAAAACCATATCTTTGAAGTTATTAACTTTTGTATTTGTTTTAAATGATAGAATTGGTATTGATTGTTTATTTTTCAACATCATTTTCTAATGAAAACATGAAATTAATCAACCCTTCATTAGAAACCCATAATGGGTAGAATGGTCTAAATTTTCTGTTAATTTGTTTGATTGTTTACAGTCAGTATCTTCATTCCAGTTGTTATGGTTTTATGACACCTGTATCACCAGAATTGTCTGGGACCTCAGAGATCTGTTGTTTTATTTGTTACAAAGTTAAAAGATAAAGTTAAAGTATCGACTTTGGCTTTTATCCCATATGACTGTGCCTGTCTCAGCAGAAGGCAAGCTGCTTGCGGCGATGATCCCCAGGGGGTCTTTGCAGAAAATACACTCATGAACTGAACAATGCAGCCAAGAAAGGAACCTATAACCTTCAGAGCGTAAGGCAAACCTGTTGACCACTTCACTACAGAGACCTATCTTGTTATAAACATGTTATTGGCGTGCTTGTCACACATATACAAGTAAGCGCTAACCTTGTAATAATTTTTAACAATCTTTTCTCAAATTTTGTTAAGAAAAGCATGCCTGCTTATAATTCTGTGAAACTCTCCCCTAGGAAACTAGAAAAAAGAGAAGAAGAAGCTGTGGAAATGTGGTGTTCTGGGTAGTTTTTTATTTTTTTAAATTTATATTAAGGGGGTTGAACCCCTAGACCACCGAGTGGATAGGCAGGCATAAGTTCCTCTGCTTCTGTGACATCACATCAATAAAAACATATACACAAATATTTTCTGTTCACAAAATGTCAAAATCAGTTTTTTTCGACCTGAAGCTAAGTAATCACTAAATAAAAACAGAAGAAATAACTGATTTCCTTCCCTTTAACCTCTCTCAAAGTGATTTTGGTAACTTTTCCACAAAGAACAATGTGACAAAATTATGAAATAATAAGATGTCCTGGTGATGTCGCCATATATTTACCAAATTTTTTTTTTTACCCCAAATAATATCTGACCAATTTATATATAAGTAAATCCCCACTATGTCTACACACAGTGCTGCATTTGCAACCTGCACCAGCGTTATTACAATTATGCCGTCCCATTGTCGGACACAATTTTTCCTTATTTTAAAGCCCCATTCCTACTGTTGTCGGGGGCCCTAATATAACCTAACAGTTGAAGTAGGTTTCTAGGACTTGCACCCCGGTGATTCTCATCTAAATGATTGTGTCACCAGGTGTTTTTCGCTTGTTTTGCGGTCCTGGGTGGGGTTAAACTTCATTTATTCACCAAAGCTGTTGTATGTAACGATCACTGCCCAAAGACATTGTGCCATTAAAATATTTTTTTTAAAGACTAGCCTGGCTCTCTGTATTTACGCCGTGACAGAGTTAGGTTAAAAAGTTTTGTTGATTGTATTTTTTTTTGTTGCGACACATTTGACTTTTGTTGTATCATACACATGCGTTTATTGTTGTGTGTATGCCAGCTATCTTGTTATGTATGTGTGTGTGTTCATTTTATTCTATTTTATTTTAAAAGGTTGTTTTCAGGAGGATGTTTCTCACATTAGGAATAATTGTTGAACATGGTTGCCTTTTTCAAACCTGTAAGTAAACTATTCACTGTCAGCATCATGTTACATGCAGATTTCACGGCATCATGTGTTGGAAAATCTCTGAGAACAAAATGCCTTTATTAGGGAAAGCAGACGTGATGTAATATTTAACCAATACTTTATTTGTCAACATTAGCCATTTTTATTCTGCAAAAGTCAATAAACAAACTTTTTATTTTGAGTAGGGGTAAGATTTGGGCACACAGTTCCATCTTAATTCTGTCCTTCATTTTGGTAATGATGTTCAACGTTCAGAATATAATTTACTATATTCATTCGTGTCCTAATGATCATACTTACATCTTTGTTTTACTGTCATTCACAAACTTGACAAGAACATTATGGTATTTCCCCAAATATAAGATACACTTAG